AGATCATATAATGTAATCTAAATGACCAATAAATACAATTATTGTACACCAATATACATCTATCTCTCTTGATTTATATACATTAGAGGTAATATAAAATTGACGTTTAATTAATAAACAAATACAAAGGTTGACTGTTAATGCGAATCCCATATTGTTTACACTATGAAATTTGCAAAAATTGGCAGGTTCATTTTTTACAGACCTTATAGGCCTACGATTTATTATAAACTAAAGAAGACGCAGTTTTATTATCTACTGTTGATATATGCTGCTTACTACTATATTTAAATTTAAACAATAATAAATAAAATACAATTGCATCTAGGATGGAATAATGCATGGTTGTGCATGGGTGATTGCATATAAGGGACAGGTGGCAAACTGTCAAGTTTTATTTCCATCACTCAATTTAGCCACCATGGAATATTAATATATTACCTTGAGCTGACGAATTTATTAACAAATAAGGTTATAGTGGCATTAAAAATACTTGAATGTCCTGACGTATTAATCAGGTTGCCAAGGCCTTGTAATTAAGAAGGTGGCCTATTAACTAATTATAATCACTAGTCAACGTGATCGTTAAGATCTAACGTAACTTTCAACATACTGATTACCTAGTAAAATGGGTTTATATCCATACTAGGCAGTTACAAAAGTACTTAACACTACAGTAAAATTATATGACAAGACTTAAAGACGTAGCAGTGCAGTGTAGACCGCAGTGTAGGCTTAGGTCAAACATATCAACTTCATAAAAATTTACCTGACAGCCTAAGAAAAGAGTGTAATGTTTTCATGTTTGAATGAATTGGTGTTTCTTTGCACCACCATAACTTCTAAACGCCTGATTAGATTTGTATGTGCAGTATTGTGAAAATGTCTATATTCTCCAAAGAAAATAAAATTCGATTAATCCAATCAACAAATTAATAAGTTTTGGGTTCTTTCTTTTACTTTTGCTGTGAAACGTTGATTTTTGCCAAACACAACAAAGTTGCGGCCACAGCTCAAGTCGCCCCCGTCAACACAGTGTGGTATACGCGTATGGCTCTTACCGCCATAACCTTCTCAAATAGCTAGTTTTACATAGACTAAGTACGCTGGAATACTAAATTGACGAAATATTTGTTTTGGGAGTTTGGGTGTTTTGTATGTAAAATATGTAGTACCTGGATGACCAAGCTTAACTCGGTTTTTTTTTTTGGTAAATTTCCTAAAAATGAAACCTAGCTAGATCAATAAATCGCGTTGGAGCCGTTTCCGAGATTCAGATTATATATATATACTAGCGGACCCGACAGACGTTGTCCTGTCAAAGTTGACACTGCGATGGTAGCGCCGTCTGTCGGATCCAATGTAAAACATTCCAAAATCAACAACTACTAATAAATTAAAAATTAATTAAAAAAACATTGTCCAGCGGACAAAATTGTGAATCTAAACCATTCCCAGATCCCCTTGAACACACACAAATTTCATCAAAATCGGTCCAGTCGTTTGAGAGAAGTTCAGTGACATACACACTCACACAAGAATTATATATATAAAGATATATATATATAAATATATACAAGAATTTCTCGTTTAAAGGTATTAGATGTATTAACAAAAAAAGTATATAATAGGTCTAACCTATGAAATTGCCGTTTTGTATCCAAAAAGTGAAAGTAATTATTTTTTCAAACTTTTTTATTTCTGTTATTCGAAGTAATCACCCATGCAATCGACGCATCTTTGACAACGCATTGTCAGTTTATTGATTATTCTTGTAAAAATCAGCTGGACGGGAGGCAACAAACTCTTCAAAGGCATTTTGTACTGCCTCTCGGGAATTGAATTTTTTACCCACTAAAAAGTTGTCTAAATTATGGAAAAAGTAATAGTCGGTAGGTGCAAGGTCAGTTTTGAAACTAGATGGCATTGTGTGTCAGATGTCCGAAAAAAATAAATTAAAAATATTATACTGAGTAAAAATTACATGTTATGACTTCTGAGATTATTAAGTTGAAAACGATAATAAATATTACGATTCACGATAATAAATAGATACTTTGTTTATTACCTTATCTGTGAGGTACCCGTTCTTGTATATCAGATAGCATATTTTTAGTCTTGGAAACAGAAGTAAACATAGTACATTTTCGGGGAAGTATTAGTTCCACTTTTATTTTGTATGGAGTAATTTTCTTAGAAGTGTAATTAATGGCGTTCTTGATATTAATTGATATTATCGATTCAAGATAATGCAAGATATCTAAATACACAACAACAATAAACAACTACAACCCCTGAAGAATAACCTGACAACTTAAACAAATCTTAGTCTAATATACCTAATTTAATTTGTCATCTTATGGCCATGCTTCGACACAAATGAGCTGGCTCTACAGAGTTGTTTTTTTTTTACGTGTGGGAACTCCCTCGGGCCTTCACCACACCAGGGTTTGCGGTGGGTGGTGTGTCGGAATCTGACCGACTAAATCACACCACTCTGCGCCTGGAATAGGAGAGATCCGGAAACTGCTATTGTTAAGACATCCAGACCCCTCCTAGCGCCTACCCACAATGGCGCGTGCACCATCTTCAGGTACATTCTCCATTTAGGCGATGATGGCTGAACGTTATGGCGGGTAGAGGGGAAAACCCATCCAGTCCACCCAGGGCCACACTCAGGGCGGCAAGAGGTTCGCCGGCGATGAATTGGGTCCGAGTAGAGGTTTTCCTCCCGGGCCCTCTCAGAAGGAGGCAGCGGCGGTGTGCGCGTTGGCCGGAACACCCCCGTAGGATTTGGAGGCGGATGTGCTTGCCGAAGTATATCAGCGGACGGCAGAGTTCCGGGCGGATAGCGGCATTCGGCCACCGCCCGAAGTGATACGCGAGTGGCGTGAGGCCGCTCTGCCCCGGGGGTATGTGTTCCGCCCGTTGCGGGAATAGGCGTCCACCACTTCCTGCAGGAAGCTTGGAGTTGGAGAGATTCCGTAAGGGGGTGGGGCCGACGCGCGGAGCTTTTGTCGCACCGCGCGGTAAGGGCGACCACAGGGTTCACGATTGTTTTTCACTTCTTCGGTGTGGTTTATTACCAGCTTCAGAGTTTTCCGAGCCTCTCGGTACTCTTCATGAAGCCGGCCCCCCTCATCGTCTTCGCGGTGACGCCGCCGACTGCGGGTGTAGGACCTACGGGCACAAGTATGGGCCGCGCGGAGGTCCGACAACTTGAGTGACTACCGGCACAGCCTCAGAGATCACTGACCCGCGCAAGCCACAAAAACAACGTGAGGATACAGTTGGGGGGTACAGAAGTGATGCCGCAGCCTCACAGAAAATCGGTGCGTTCTTTTGTCGCCTTTCACAGAGTTAGTAAGGGAACTGAAAGTCCAAATTCACCGTAATTTGGGGGGGGGGAATTACTCAACGGTAACGAACTTGGGTCTCTTGAGTTTTAAGTGTCTTAAGGGTTTGTTTTAAGTGGTGGTAGTCACTAATCATCAAATGCCGTTTGCCGCCTATTGCGTACAAAATAGTCAAAAGTTTTGCCTCAATGGTTTTAAAATTTTAATAATACATTGGTGGTATAGTCAGACTTAGCAAATAAAGTGTCACACAATACTTCAATAGTAATAGAAAAATAATTTAAGCAATAAATATTTAAGTATGTTGTATATTACGTAATTACAAATATAGATTATACATGTTTGAAAAACGCATAATTGGATTCTACATTATGGCAACATATATATTTGCTTATTATATTGTGAATTAATAAAAACAATATAAGTTAATCCTTTATATTTGACAAAGGAGGTTCTTTTTTGTAAAGCAAAATTTCATTCTTAATCGTAATATTGCCAATGCGACTCATTAATGTTGATCCGGTTTTTGCGAGGGCTACACTGCATATTCGAGCCCATAACCTCGTCTGGAGGACACTCCTGGGTTTCTGAAAATACATAAACAATATAAACTTATGATAAACTCACTTATATATTGTACATGCTCAACTACCGAAGGTACTTATACTAAAATTCGAACTATTCTCATAATAAACGACACATATCTTAATCCAAACACCTGGTCTAATTTGTCTTTTAGAAAAATATAACTGACTTCAACGTGTGCAAACTCGTTACAAAAAAAAAACTAGAGAAAGATATCACTGGAGAAATATAATCCACAAGCGTCTGCCCGCGACTTTGTTCGCCTGAAATAGTTACTTTGGGCTATCTAACACTTATATACTTTTTCAATTCGAACCAGTAGTACCTGAGATTAACGCATCCAAGCAAACAAACAAACAAACTATTCAGCTTTATAATATTAATAGTATAGATTCAATCTATTTTTATAAAAAAATTTAGCTTGCAATCCTTCAAAAAGTTCACCACCGAAAGAGCTCAAATTTTTAACACGATTATATGTCGTGTCAAAATTACACGCTTCAGAGATGGTTTTTTATCTATTTTTTTCAACCACAACATGCCACAGCGAAGCATGACAGGCTAGTGATAAATATAATTATTAAAATTTATTATAGAAGAGCATTATTATTGTTAATTGCAACTGATTAATTTGTTCACAATATTGATAACAGTACCTATAGTATATAACATACACAGTAGTGACCTAAAATACACAAAAGGCTAAAATAATTTCAAGATCTCGCTTTAACTAAGAAAGGAGCTAAAAATAAAACAATTATTTAAAATTTCAAGTTTATTTGTTTATTAGATTTGTCTACTGTATTATGATGTGACATAAATGTTTTAAATAATTAGCACCTTACACTGGAAAAGAATGAAGTTCAAATAAAGTACATAACTCACAGTGCAGTCTGATATACATATACGAAGTTCATTCTTGACGTAGATATCGAACTAAGTCAAAAACGAATCATTACGTTTCTAAATTCTTGTTTTGTTAGCCTACAGTACTAATTCATTTCAAGCCAAACGTCATTTTAGTGAAAATCTGTCAAGTGTCAATTACTGATGGATTTTTTATGGATTCGAATTAATCAATACACCACCGCTTAAGTTTGGCCCACAGCCTAGAAGAATAGGCAATTTACAGCCGGTTGATGTTCTAGTGGGAAAAATAGCCGCCTCTAATGCTGGTGCATTATCATAGTCCAAAGCACCACGCACAAAAGACATCGTTGGTATGATATTATTTAACATCGCGTCGTGTTCTAACTGCTCAATAATTCTAGCATACTCATCATCTTCTGAACGATTTGGTCTCATATTTGGTAACTGAATTTCATTATTTTGATTTCTTAAAATATTGATGTCATGGTTCTCGCCAGCTTTTAAAAATGGAATAGTCCTCTGAACATATGTTGGATAGTTATTTGGAAGAAAATCTAGAGGTAGTATAGGGTTTGGCAGTTCATTGTCATCATCATCATAATTATTCATATTAATGTCCATGGATATTTTCACAGGTTCTTGTTCTTTGTATACTGGATTACTTTCTTGAGCCAATTTGGGATATTGATCAGGCCACATTGGTAACTTGTCTTGATAAAGTGAATCATAATCAATTGCCAGCACTCCTTTGACACCATCTTGATTGCAAGAAGTTTGTACTGGAGTTTGGAATATTATATCAGCGGCCTCTGAATCAGATAACTTTATGATGTTGTGGTTATTTGACATTTGTAAATCTTCAGCGTTCTTTTTGTTTAAGGTTTCAATTTCTTGAATGTTATTACTCGGTTTTGCACTTGTTATAATATTCTCATTAATATTTGCAGAAGGTAAAAGCAGAGGTACTACATAATTAGTTGGAATACCACGAACTAAGCCGAAACTCAAAAAAATCGCAATAAACACACCAAACATTTTAGTCCACTGCATTATTGAATACTAAACTTAAAAATACCACAGTGCGATAAATATCATGTTTTACGAGTATTATTATGTTGATTCTGCTAAATTTGATGTCAATGAACAATGGAAGACGGTTTCATATTACAAACCCCAGCGCGATTGTATCATATTCTTGTAATTAATGAATTAGAGAATTTATAAGAATGTATGGTTGACCAAATTAGCTGAATAAATGATTTATTTTTATTTTGTACATTTTCTTTCTCTCGCTCTCTCTTACAATTTTTTATAACTGGCTGGTGTACAAATAAAAATCATGATCATAATTATAGATAAACAAAATGTTTTACATTAATAACCTACAAATATATTTTATTTCAGCAATTAAGACTTTTGTAAAGTATTATTAATTACCAAGCTTTAGAGCCTGCGCAGATATATGTATATGTAATCTGATTAAAATATATAAATTGTTTATAAGTGAAGTAGGCTTGCTCTACAACTCGATAATAATAAATGAAAATATTTCACAAATGTCTGCATAGCTCTGTTATTCTAAAAATATGATTTTTAATTGTTATAGGTCACGAATATCATATTGTTATAGGTTTGTGCTTTAACATTACATTATATTGGTTAGCCGACACTTTTATTACCAACTATAATTTAGTCTGACTCACGAAATACTAGTAGGGGCAAGCCTATTGCGCGTAATAGAGCAGTTTGGGTATTAAAGGTGAGAAAATTGGAAGTACATCTATACACATAAATAAAATTGAAGTGTCTGTTTGTAATGTCAAAATAATAGGTATTTTTCATGCTCACGCGGTTATTTACATGATACCTATGCCTAAAAACCAGTTTAAATATTTTTTGTCTGTCTGTCGGCCTGTTCCGAGTAATCTTCAAAACTGCTTTACCAATTTTGATAAAATTTTACTACTAGGTATCTGTCTATATAAGGAGTAAGTTAGACTATTATTCCGCTTTTCAAATTCCACGCAAACGAAGTCGCGGGTACCAGCTAGTATAGTAATAAGCAAGAAAAGGTAAACAGTAATAGCAGTGGAGGGAAAGGAATGTAATGCTTATGCTAATGAATAGATAAGAAAGTGTGATGCAAAGATATTGAGATATATATTTGGTGTCAGTGGTATCTAATATATTACAAGAAGCCTGAAAGTAGCGCCAGCGGATGAAAAGTTGTGAAGTAAGCGATAGTCGTGGTACGAATAGGTAACGTGAAAAAATAAATAAAATACGAGATTGATACACTGCGTAAAAAAAGGATGGCTAGAGGAAGTAGCGGGTATTGCAACGACAAAAAAAACGGTCAAGTACGAGTCGAACTTGTGCGCCGAGGGTTCCGTACCTACCCAGATTTTACGTAGATTTTCGCGAAAATTTGTAAGGACCAAAATTTATCTTAATTTTCAGCTTTTTTTTTTGGAATTATTCCTTTATTTGTGCTGTAAGACGTTTTTTTATAAATTTCAACTTGTTAGGTCTACCCGTTCCTGAGAAAATCGGTGATGACACACGGACAGACGGACAGAGGGACCAGAAACTGATCTTATAAGGGCCTCTTGTTCTTTCCTTCCTCCTTTTGTTTTCCTAAAAATGGAGAAGAATGTAACAATAAATAATTTTGATGTTTTATTCAAAATTCTGTGGATTAAGTACCTATAACCTTCTTATTACATTAAGTAGGCGTCAAATATAATATAAATAGTAATAAATTAACTGAAAAAAAATAATTAACATGTAAATTTTAGTTTTTAAATGATTCAGGCTATTTTCCTTTACTTTTTAATAAATTAAAACAAATAGATTCTGTTCTCAGCTTGCCGGGTATACTTTTTAGGGCATGATTATATTTTTTACTGAATAAGGTTGTTCCTTCATTGGCCTTATTTAAACTCTTTTGCTTAAAGCAATTTTAATTAATAATGATGTAAACTCAACGCTCTTATCGATGTGACTTCATACAGACAACCTTCAGATAGACAGATTATTGTATTGATTGGGTCATAATCAAATACCACGAAAAAAATGTTTTAATCCATTAACTCTTCATATTTATTATCTACCAGCTGCGCCCCATGGTGTTACTCGTGGTTTATCAGATAAAACTTGTATTTTTTAAGCGATGAGTAAAACATTTTAAAATTCCTTGCTTACCCCACGGAGACACTACATTTTCCAGATAAAAGTAGTCTATATGTTAACCCACCTGTCTGGGTTAACATATAGACTACTTCCTCTACACAAAATTTTATCAAAATTGGTCCATTCGTTGAGCGTGAAGAAGTAACAAACATACAAACACACACTTACGCTTTAATGTTAAAGTGAGATGTTGGGGAATTATTTTATCAGTTTTACCCCACACCGAAGACAGATTTTATATTAAATTATGTGTTTACTTTTTTAACTTTATTTTTGTCTGTTTAGTTTGACAACATAACCTGGGCCTCAATTCTGCTATTACGCCAAGCCAGTGTCATACCACTGACACGCTATTGAGATGCCATCGAGTAGCTATTGGCATCGGTATAAATATCGGTTATTGAAAATATATTACGCTTTTTGAGGAAATTATTTATTTGTTTTTATTATAATAAATTATTAAAAGAAATAAATAAATTAAAAGAACTTATCAAAAAAATAAAATTAAAAAAAGAAGAAATAAATAAATTAAAATAAATTATTAAAGAATAAAATATAAAAATTATAAAAAAGAAATAAATAAATTATTAAAATAAATAAATAAATTAAATAAATTCTTAAAAAAATAAAAACAAAAAAAAAGAAATAATTTATTAAAATCAAAAAATAAAAATAAGAAAATTGTATAAATAAATAAGTCATTTCCTTATAATTTGAAAATATATTGTTTTTTGTTTAATTTTATTATAGTAAATTATTAAAAGAAATAAATAAATAAATTTAAATTATTAAAAAAATAAAAGTATAAAAAAAAGAAATAAAAAAAATATGGAAATAAAAGTAAAAAAATAATTAAATAAATAAATCATTTTTTTATAATTTGAAAATATATTTGTTTTAATATTATTTTTATTTTAATTTTTTTATGTTAATAATTTATTTATTTCTTCTTTTCTTAATTTAATTCTTTTCATAATTTATTTATTTATTTTAATAATTTATTATAATAAAAACAAATAAATAATTTCCTCAAAAAACGTAATATATTTTCAAATTATAAGAAAATTATTTATTAATTTTAATTATTTTTATATTTTTTTATTTTAATAATTTATTTATTTCTTTTTTTTTATAATTTTATTTTTTAGATAATTTATTTTTATTTATTTATTTCTTTTAGTAATTTATTATAATAAAATTTTTAAAAAACATTTCCTCAAAAAACGTAATATATTTTTAACTACCGATATTTATACCGATGCCAATGACCACTCGATGGCATCTCAATAGCGTGTCAGTGGTATGACACTGGCTTGGCGTGAACATAAAATAGCAGAATTGAGGCCCTGGTAGGTAACAGTAACATAACGCCCACCTTCCCCTTCAATGCTTGTTTAATGAAAAGTGACTGTCGCTCTTCTTTAGGTAGCGGACTGCAATAATTTATCACTTTTAACACTTGATGCTACTCATCATTTTCCTAACTGCACTCCCTCTCTTTTTTTTGACCTTATTCTTGTCTCCTCTACTGATCATGTGATCGACCATGGCCAGTATCCAGCTGATGCATTCTCCTATCATGATTCAATATTTCTTTCCTATTCTAAGCCCACCCAAGGCAAAGCCGAGAATTCTTGTGCAACGCAATTTTAGCGGAATGAATCTTACTAGCCTGAAAGAGGATGCCGGTAACATTAACTGGTCTGTCATAATAAACTCGCAATATATAAATGAAAAAGTACAAATATTCACTTAAAAGTTATTACAGCTGTATAACGTGCACGCACCCCTGCGATCAATCATAATGAAACATTTACCAGCTCCCTGGCTTACCTAGGAAATACGGCGGATCATGTCCAATAAATGTTTGGCGAAAAATAAGTACAAGCGTTGACCCACGGATACTAACCTAGAAAAATATGTGAACCTAAGAAAACTCTGCAATAAGATATATTATGTAGAAATGCACAATGCCAACATATTTATACTTTAATTTGTTGTGGTAATGTAGGCATGGCATAAGAATACCGTTTACGTTACATTTTAAGTAATCAATAGTAGCAATAAGGAATCTGTTAATAGGTTGATACTTTCTAGATTTATGTTTTCATTCAAAATATATTGTTGCAATGGAACCATAAAATGTTTAGTTTAAAAACAACATTGTTTTAAAAAATGCTTTTATTTTTGTGATGTTTTACAAATCCGTATAAAATTATAAAAATTATATAAAAATAAGCCATGTTTTCGTAGCCTGATAATTTTTCAAACGTTTTCACATTTAGCTGTCTAAACTTGCCTTAGTTTTCTGTTTTACAATAGTAGGAGATCGCAGAACGTTATTGTTTTTTATCGCGTTTGTCTTTTTGGTGTCACGCTTATTGTGAAAACCGAAATCTTCTTCCGTTCTGTATGAAGGCGCGGAGTATGAAGGTGCCGAGTACGAAGTCCCATGAGCCTTAGCCAAGCTGCCAGACACAACAGACGGCGAACAGCTCAAGAGCAAGGGGATACCACATCCCCCAGTATTGGCATTGGGAAACACTCCAACTGCCCCTCCTGAATTAATGGGATTAATGGGGTTGGTTGCATAAGAACTCCTAAAACTTTCATGTGAAGGCTTCCACCGGAACACATGCTCGGATTCAAGGCTTTCCATTGCATCCCTAAGACTTGGGTGGAAATGCGAGTGAAGCCCATCGTGGACATTCATATCATGTATGTCAGGATGGACTATATTGTGATGAAACCTGTGAGGAAAGTTAGCATGTTGATGAACGTGTTCGGATGAATCAAAGTCGTGGCCGTGTCCAACGTTATTATGATTAAAATGATGATCAGCTACATTCGAGTATCTCGTTTGACCGAGTTCATGTCTATTTTTTCTAGAATCTTCTACAGTTTTCGTAAGGGGCCTACTTTCATGGGTCCAATATGTAGGAGGCACAGATTGCTGATGATGTAAATTGTTTTCAGCGTGTTTCATTTCTGTTGCTGTCAAGTGTTGATGTACTTGGTCTTCAGGTGTTTTCAAATCAGTAAGTTTGGCTGTGTGTTCCGAAACGATGTGATCAATGTTTTGATGTTTACGCTGTAAAGGCAAATGGTCCAGAGCCATCTGGTTTATTGGATTTGCCGTTTTCATTGAAGATATAGCATGTGAGTTTTGATTCCAGTGCATATTGGAACTCAAAGACTCTGGGTGATGTAAATGGTCTTCGACAGTATTCATTCCTCTAAATGCTGTCCACTGACTACTCAAGTGATCTTCGGCAGATTTTAATTCTGTTAATTTTGCTGACTGTTCCCAATCGTTATGATGCATGTTCTGATGTTTGTGCTGTATAGCATGATGGTCCTGAGCTAACTGGTTTGTAGGGTTAGCCATTTTTAATGAAGTTGAAGGATGTGATTCCTGATTCCAGTGCATATTAGAACTTAAAGAGTCTGGGTGATGTATATGATCTTCGACAGTTTTCATTTCTCTTAATGCTGTCCAATGATGACGTAAGTGATCTTCAGCAGATTTTAAGTCTGTCAATGTTGCTGTTTGTTCCAACTTATTACGATCTATATTGTTATGTTTGTGGTCTATATGAACAGTGTTTAAGGCTTCCTGGTGTAACGGCTGGGCTGATTTCATTACAGACGTTTGTCTACTTTCATGACCCATTTGAGGATCAGGAGAGATAAATTTTGGATGTAGCATATGGTGATCGTTAGCTTCATTTATGTTATTTGTTACCTGGACAGGATGAATATGATCCTCAGATGTTTTCATTTGTGTTAATGTTTTCAAATGCTCTGATTCATTCTCATCAATATTTAAATGTACTTGATTTAAAGGTTCAACTGTTTTCAAGGAACTGAGGGGTTCGGTTTCATGGTTCCTTAGTGCATTAAACGGCTCTTCAGCAGTTTTCACTTCTGCCAATGTTGCCGTGTGCTCTGATTTATTATAATCAATGTTGTTGTATTTATGGGGTAAATGAGGATCCTTCAAAGGTACGTGGTCTGAAGGGTTAGCTGTTTTCAATGACATCATAGGTCTGGTTTCATGATCCCGTTGTGAATTCAAGGGATCCGATACCACATGATGTATATTGTCTTCTACGGCTTCCAGTGTTTTTAGTACGGTGTCATGATGATTATGTTTGTTTTCAGCTGCTTTCACTTCTGTTAACGTTTCCGTATGTTCTGATTCATTGTAGTCAATGTTGTGGTGTTTATGGGTTGAATGAAAATCGCTCAAAGGTACCTGGTCTGAAGGGTCAGCTGTTTTCAATGAAATTATAGGTCTGGTTTCATGATCCCATTGTGAATTCAAGGGGTCAGATACCATATGATGTATATTGTCTTCTACAGCTTCCAATGTTTTTAGTACGGTGCCGTGATGATTAAAATTATTTTCAGCTGCTTTCATTTCTGTTAATGTTGCCGTATGTTCTGATTCATTATAGTCAATGTTGTGATGTTTGTGGAGGAAATGGAAATCGTTCAAATGTGCCTGAGTTGAAGGGTCAGCTGTTTTCAATGAAGTTATATGTTTGGTTTCATGGCCCCACTGTGAATTCAAGGGTTCTGATACTGCTTGATGTAAATTATCTTCTTCTGCTTCCAATGTTTTTAGTACCGTGCCATGATGGTTAAATTTATTTTCAGCTGCTTTCATTTCTGTTAATGTTGGCGTATGTTCTGATTCATTGTAGTCAATGTTGTGATGTTTATGCGGTAAATGAAGATCGTTCAGAGGTACTTGGTCCGACGGGTCAGCTGTCTTCAATGAAGGTCGAGTTTCATGATGAGATAAAGCATGATGTAAGGTGTCTTCAACGGCTCCCAGTGTATTTAGTACCGTCACTTGATGATTCATATTATTTTCAGCTGTTTTCATTTCTGTTAATGTTGCCGTATGCTCTGACTCATTGTAATCAATGTTGTGATGTTTAGTCTCTTCACGAATATCGTTTAGTGGTATGTTTGATGGTTCAGCTGTTTTCATTGAACTCAATAGTTTAGTTTCATGATTCGTTTCCGCATTTAAATATGTAGATTCTACAGGATGCAAATGACTTTCAGCAGTTTTCATTTCTGTTAATGTTGCTGTATGCTCCGATTCATTGTCATCAATATTGTGATGTTTGCCTTCTAAGTGAAGATCATTCAGAGCTACCTGATCTGAGGAGTCAGCCGCTTTCATAGAATTTTCAGATTGTTCATCAAAATTTTGATGATGAAATTTCTTACTATCTTCATTAATATCCTCATTTGCTTCAGTATGATGATCTTCTGACATGTTTTTTACATTTTCAGTAGTTCTTGCTGTAGTAGTAATTTTTTCTTCAGTTATTTCATTTTTAATGTCATTTCCTTGTAATACTTCGGCACTGTGTAATTCCTTAGTTTTTTCATCTAAATCTGTAATTGCCATTTTTTTTTCGTGTTTTTGTGACCCATCCATGACAAAAGTACCCGTTGAGCTGACTACGTTGTGAACATCTGTCAGAGGTTCTTCTAAATTTTCTTCAGCATTCCTGTTGAGCTTTTCTTCGTGTTCTTTCACTTCCCATTCACTGTTTTTTACGGGTTCAAGGCGTTTATGGTTTTCACTTCTTAAGGAATTATGGTTTGCAATTTCTACAGCTTTCATTTCAATGACCTCCGAAGGAGACGGTGCAATATCACCAACGGTTTCTTGTGCTTCTCTAGCGAGTCCAAATGTTTTATCACTACCTTGTTCTACATTATTGATGTTTTCAGTGGGATGTAGTTTAAGGTTGTCACTTTGCATATCACGCATATCATCTTCTCCTAATCCTATTTGAGAATTTTTTTCTATTATTTTATGACCAGCTTTAAGAGATGCCGTCTCAGATTGATGTAAATTTATGAGTTTCTCCTGATTAGCTCTAGTCTTGAAGCTATCTTCAAAATTTTGGGCGATTTCAACATTTTTGTAAATGTTTTCGATAGCTGTTTTCCACAGTGCCATTCTTTCATCTTCCGTATTTGCTATTCTGATGTGTAAATTCTGCATGGCGTCTGAATCCATCAACGGTGATGCACGTAAACTCATTGTTTCTAAATTTTCGTAGTTCTTGTGAATATCTTCTAAAGCTTGTCTCGTAACTTCGAGGTCTTCATGTAAATCTGTATCAGACTTTGAATCAAGCTTACCAGAAGCACTGTTTTGTTCAATCCTCTTAAAATCGCGTTGCAAATTCTCGATGGCTTCTCTTGCCATCATAATGCTGTGCTTCATATCATTTTTTGATGTGCTGTCACTAATTTCATGACCAGAACTCCTCAACATCTTTCTGAACTTTCCATCTTCATCGCACAACTTTACTTTAACTTGCCTACCGCAATGTTCGCGGGAGTCAGCATACGCTTTCTCTTCTTCAGAATCACGATATAAGTGATACCCAGTTTTTTTCTTGACAATTACTGGGGTTTTCAAAGCAAAGCTTCTGCCAGTTTGAATTGGAATGTCTTCGTCGGTATGAATTCTAGTATTAGGTACACTTGAATGCAAAAGTGTGCTTGATTTTAAATCTGTTGGAGACTTTCTTTCTCTCTTCACGGATTCTAGAAACCTGTGTGCTGGAAACTGCAGGTTTTGATGATATTCGGTTGCTTCTTCTTGTAGTGCGGGAGCTGCCAAGGCAACTGACACCAAAGTGAAGAGCACTAATGTCTTCATAGTGTGGACGAACACGTTTGATGCTGGGATCAATGTGTATACGGTTTATATACTAATTCACCTCCAGTACATTTCTCTGAGGGATCGCCTAACAAAACAAAACGTGATTGTTTTCATTGATTCACAAATGCTGAGACAACACTTTCCTGTGCATAACATAAAGACACCATACACAAACATTTATTTTCTAATATTCTAATTTACAAATATTGTCAGTTACCAATTTTTTTTTTCGTAATGTGAATAAATAGGCTTAGACATTGGGCAATGATGAATTCCTTCTATTATGCGCTTAATTGTTAATAATCACCAATTGAAGAATAATAAACATAAAACATTATAGATTTTTCAAACATCGTCAGTAAAAGGTATAAAGACCTGTGTCTTCATATGTGTCGTCTGTGTCATCATAGACCAAACAGTCCATAGTAGGGGTGCACTTTATCCATACCCTACATACGCAAAAAAAAAACTGTAATCGATCCATCATACATGTAAACCACCTATGTTTACTAAACCTTTGACAATAATAAGAAAGTGAAAAAGCTAGTAATGCCTACGGTGTGCACTAAACTATGGTTGTATTATGTGTGTCTGTAAGTACATACTAATAATATAATTCATGGATAATTTATTCAATCCTGTTTAAATAATTCAAATTCAATTTATTCAATAACTCATGGATAAAGTTCTTTCACTCCCAAATTTAAATTATTTATTTCCTTTAAATAATGTGGTTGTGTAAGTAGTAAATAATGTGGTATTACAATTTTGATATAAATCGAACAGGAACATTTAAAAAATTATTAAAATAACTTATGTAGGTACCTATATTATATTATTATAATAGTCATTTCTCATCAGGGCAACTGTGACCTCTGGTATTGTCTTCGAATGCCACCAAGAACTGGAACAGCTCGCTACATTCAATGGGGTACTCTTCCAATGGATTAAAGGGCACAGTAACTCACACGGGAACGATGCCGCAGATGAGTTGGCAAGGAGGGGCTCGGCAACCCCGAACTCCGGCCCAACCACACTCCTGCCCATATCGTTTAACCAAATACGATGCTGGGTCAGGCAACGGACCTGTGAAGCACACAACCGGAGGTGGAAAAACTCACCCGGCTGCAGACAGCCCAAACTGGTGCTGAATCAAGTCACACCACGACTCACCTGCAGACTGATCAGTCTTAGCAGACCGGAAATCAGAATGGTTGTCGGAACTATTACAGGACATCTAGCCCTGAACCGACAACTATTCATCATCAATGCGACGGACAGTCCCCTATGCAGGGGATGTCTGGAAGCTGAAGAAACGGCCGTCCACGTAATCCTGGAATGCGAGGGAGTGGCCACACAACTGGCAAGTATCATTCCCGATATAAAGTCGCTCCTAGAAGCCTGTGAACGCCCCAGGAGGCTTCTGCGCTTCTGGAAGGAGCTTGGCTGGCTCACCTAGTCAACCAATCCTCGACGCATAAAGGACCACTCTGAGTCTAAATGCGGAAACTGAAGCCCACAACCAATACCAATACCAATACCAGGGCAACTATGAATCAATTATATTGGACTCTTGTTCAATTTATTATTCTTATGATTCCTTATTTTTAAGGAATTCCTTTGTAGAATAAAAATTAATTTGCTTAAACCACAAACGTAGTTTTTTTATAAACTTAGTTAAGAGTAATGTCTTTACACAATTTGGGATTTAATTATATATTTTTATGCTCATGGCGTAAGAGTTATTTTTCAGCCGACTTCTTCTTGGTAACATGTCCAGAACGAGCCTACCTGAGTTCCTTACGTTATTACGCCGAATGACATCTTTTGCCCGTTTAAATACCTGAGGGTGTTGCTTGATAAATTACCTTACCTCTAATATATAAAGGCAGACCAAAGGGAGTATTTTTAGTTATTTAAATAAACATCTGAAGTAATATCACATATCGATCTTATGCATCTTTTTTGAGCAATAAAAACCTTCTGAACCTCTGAGCTATTGCCCCATATTAATAGTCCATACCGAAGGACAGATTCGACATAAGCAAAATAAGCCGTGTATGCCATATTTTAGTTTGCTATTTTTGCTAATTTATAAAGAGCACGTGAAACCCCGTTGATATTGTTCCTCATTTTTTCAAGTGGTCCTTTCCAATTGAATTTAGAATTTTTTATTAGTCCAAGATGTAAAAATGTACTGTAATTAGCATTCAATAATGTATGTCCATCGTAATTAATCTCTCTATCTAAAGAAGAGTGAATGTATGAAAAACTCAATAAAATTAAATAATCAGATCTACCAGAACTAATCTCCACGTTAATTTATAATTTCATATTTTTTAATTTTGGTGAACCCATGTAACACTGGTTTATGAAAATCAAGCTTAGTTAAAAAGCAGCTGTACTTAGTCTTAGTCTCATTCAACTAAGCGTATCGAACTCTAAGCCATTTTTTTTTTGAATAAACCTTGTTCATATAAGTACATATAATGCTCCCATGCAAAATATGCATGCAATGTAAGATGTTTCCTTGTGCTTTTCGCAGGCAAAAGTAAGTAAACAAACTTCTATTCAGATAATTCTGTGAGACCTTGCTTATTGCTATGTACTTATGACTCCAGGTTAGGTTACCCAATGGGTTTTGGTTTAACGTCTAAGTATTTAAAATATAAATCCTAAACGACCATATTTAGCAATAAACGACTTATATGAAACCTCTACGCGTGCTTGAGAAAAAGGGTCTTAACTGACAGACATACAGACAGACACATAGACGAGAAAGTTATCAAATAAGTGTTCCTTTTTCATTTTGAGATACGGAACCAAAGCGTTATTGAAATGTTTAAACTCACAAATTTATAATTATATGTTATCTTAACTTGCATTTTTGCAATGCAATGTAAACCTAAACGAAATATTGGATTGTTATTTTTTCCGTATTAGTAACTCAACAAATGTTACTTTTACTTTAAACACGTAACTTACTTTAAACACGTAATTGCTCACATTTTTCTAACGACGATTAATTGTAAATACCATTTGTATTTCAAAAACGACGGGGTCTTATAAGTTTGACGTGTCTGTGTGTGTGTGTGCCTGTCTGTGGCATCGTAGCTTCCGAACGGATGAAACATCCGTTCGGAAGCTACGATGCCGAATGCTATGACTTTGATTTTGTTTTCTTTTTGAAAGGTGAATTAGTCGGGAGTACTCTTAGTCATGTTTGATGAAAATCGGTCCAAGTTGACCGCCGCCACAAAATGGCGGATTACATATTTTTTCACATCTCCCTCAAGGGATCAATGATCAAATGAAAGGGCTACGGCAAATTACAAAAACAAGATGTGTTAGGGGTTAGGGGTTTGGTAGTAAGCGATCCTGACGGATTATTTGCGCTTTGTTTGGGTTTAGTTTAATTTCGATTATTATATCTATGTACTAGCTTTGTGGTGGTCGATAAGTTAAACAAAATGATGCCAAATACAAAATTGCACTTCTTTTTACGGGTAATTATGAAAATTTAGTAACAACGTTTTCTATTACTTTTAACAAAGAGAATTTACTGTGAGTTTTAAAATGCTGCTACTAATAAATTTCCAATCCCTATTTTGCTCCCTTAAGGGGAAAATTTAAAAAAAATCTTTTGCACACCTACGTCACCTAAAGAACATTTGTACAAAATTTCATGCTTCTAGACCCAGCGGTTTCAGCTGTGCGTTGATCGATCAGTCAGTGAATCAGTCTGTTAGTTTCTTCTTTTATAGATAAAGATTTAGAAACATAAATAAGTATGTTTATTTAGTAATATTTGTCCTGATTCAAGACAGATAGGCTTCCTCCTATTATGTAAGCGTACCTTAAATCATAGAAAGCCAGATGTGGGCATCTTAATACGCCTCTGTTATCCCCTTTGGAGATATATGAAGAAAAAATATGAGCATATGCAGGTCTTATTCTATACATCCATACTTATATAACAAACGTGAAAGTGATATCGTTTGTTTGTTTGTTACGCTCTCACACCTTAACCACTTAACCGATTTCTCTCACCAATGAAAAGCTACATTATCAGCGACTGACATAGGCTATTGTTTACCGCGAAAACAGACATCCACGCGAGCGAAGCCGTGGGAAACGATGGCTAGTTAAAGATATTTTACAAACATTTAAGGGCATCAATAAACTGCCAATGCGTTGGCAAAGATGCGTCGATTGCATGGGTGATTACTTCGAATAACAGAAATAAAAAAGTTTGAAAAAATAAGTACTTTCACTTATTGCATACAAAACGGCAATTTCATAGGTACCTATTATAAACCATCAAAAAAGTCTAAGCAACATGTACTCGTACAGTTCTAAACTTTTGAATGATTTTTACTATTGTAATAGGTTTTTCTTTTATGTTAGAGACGAGCAAACGGGTCACCTGATGGAAAGTGACCATCGCCGCCCATGAACGTTTGCCACTCAGGAGTCACTAACGCGTTACCGACCTTTTAGGAAGTAGTACGCTCTTTTCTTGAAGGATTATATATCTTGTATATCATATAGTGTATAATATTTTTACTTTTAATACGGTGGCCTATTATTAGACTAGTTATTAATGATCAGACCAGAGATCTTGGGTGCGATTTTCATCCAGAACACAGAAAGGGTGTGATCAAAATGATTATTTGTTCTGTGTCTGTATATTTAGAAACATTTAGGTATGTTTATTAGCAGTCTGGTTCCCATATCATACTCGTAGGCGCCGCCTAATTTAGGATCAAACGGCAGTGAGCGGTATAAAAATATATTTATTTTGTGTTTTGTTCATTTATTCTCAGCTCAACAGAATCATCACTAAACATTCTTATTTTAAGCTAATGTAATAGTTATTATTTAGTAAACTTTTCACTAAGATCAGCCTTTGATAGTCATTAGCTTTTATTATACTATTACTATTTACATTTAATCGATGTTTAGTCAAACTAATACTTAAGAGATAGTGCGATAGGAGCATGACTTTCCCTTTAACATTACTATCGTGTATAATAGTGTGTAATAGTTTCTTAGAACACACGTGTCAGTTATAAGGGGCAGTCATAACACTCAAATTGTCTTAGAATTAATATACTCAAAAAAAAAGATAAGAGAATAACTAGAATCGTGTATGTAAACAAGATATCAAACATTGTAAGCTCTAAATGTACTTAATTTGTTAGTTGTTAAGGCCATGGCAGATTGCTACTACGGACTCCAAGAACACTTAGACTGAAACGACAATTTGTAGATCACATATAGTGTCGTCCCGTATTGGATGATCGAACCCACAACACTCAGCGTAGTAAGAAGCGGCGTGGCGACCGCTTAAACCACTACGACATCCATGCAGTTAATACATATAGGACGAATAGGAGGAATGATGTAATGTGATGAAAAATGTAGCTATTTTTTTTTAAATAATATAAAATATTATAAAAAATCAGAAAATCGTCCGTCTCGGCTGCCATACGAACACATACGGCAATCGTTACAGGTAGTAGCCATAAAAATTTCGACAACAGTCTATCTAAAGAACTTCGATATCACCCATTACTTGGGTTGTAGACGTCTGATGGCAGTCTCTCCACGTAAAAAATTGAAGTTCAGTCTTATCGTAGTAGATTTAAAGCCGACCACAACCTAATTTGTGAAAAAGGCTCGGAGAAAGATGTATGTATTCAGTCATATAAGGTATGTTTATGAGGAATAGTTGGGATCACATTGCGTGAGTGAGGTGTTGCCAATTATTTGAAAAAGTCTATAGTTATTTTCTACTTCGTAGATTCTAGTAAAAAGTTTATGTGTTGAATATGAGAATTAAATGAACATCATTGGGGGTTCGACTTAAAGAATGAAGCTTTGACACTATACTAATACCATAATACTTTCTCAAAGATGATGACAAAACGAGCAAATATACTCTCATATCTATCAGTGACGCAAAAACCTGATGATGCTCCACCAAAACAGTATGCTTTTATTTTATTAAATACAAAGCCCTTCACGATCTGCCAAGAACTATTTACTCAAGTTCATATTATAACATTTTGTTAATTAACTTATTAAATGACTTTAATAAAATAGAAATCAATTTTCCGCTTCCTGATGGACTTTTCGACGAATTAACCGAATAAGGTTAGGTTGGGGATAGTCTCTGGACACCGAATGATGATTTCCCTGATGTATCTCTGGATAATCTTCTGATATCTTGTGGTGGCTAATGAACTGGTTTGGATTTATCCAAATAGAACTTCTGATTATCCTTGGATGACTTTTAAACATCTCACTTGGTTGACACAAACGTTGAACGTCCATCGGTACATGAATTCTGTATGAACATTTTTCTTCCACATGATTGTCAAGCAATTTAGAATCTATATTTGTAAGGACGTAAGCTGATTTTAGGATGACAATCAAGAACGTGACTTTCATCTTGCTTGCAAATATGCAGATAATGATAAATATATTTGATATCGTTTTATTTATAGTGCAACAGATAATACGTGCTCCACGCTTTATTGATTGTCAGTGCGTAATTTAGATGAGATAAGTAAAATAACTATAATGCAGTTTTGTTAGTAGACATTGTTTTCAAATATAGGACTAGACAGGAATTTTGTTAGAAATTCAAAAATATGTTGGAAAATGTTTCGCCTCTTCACTGACTACTAAGGTGGAAGTTGACTGTATTAAACAGCAGTAGACAAGTAACATTGCGTTAGTAATGGAATATGTGAGATCAGTAGGGCGGCTCCGATTCAAGCGCATCGAAACGCTTTCTTAAACTTCCTTCGTAACCTAAAAAAAACTTATATTAAGATTCTATAAACCAGAATGTAGGTTGTCTGCCAATGTTTTAGATCAAACTTAAATTAGTACTGATGTTTTACAATTTCACTATCGAAGTTGTAAGTAATTATGTAATGTCAGTCACTTTAATTTCTGTTTATCAACGGCATCATTATAATAAAACCATGTCAAGGACTGATATAAATAATACCATTAAGCACACTTAACGGCATATATTACAACACGTACTTTTTGATGTTACAGGAAACATTTAGAGTTATTTCTGAAACTTGATGTAAAAAAATGTAAGTTCCACAGCCAAATTTTTTTTTTGTTTCTGTTGTCCTGTAAAATCCAGCCACTCGTAACTATTATTATAACTATAAGGCCTAAGTGATATTCAGTACTTCAAGTGTAATATTTTAGCACAGTACATATATACTTACACCTCAGTCCTCAAAGGGGGTAAACAGCCATTGCTACTATAAATTTAGTCGCACTTACATATTTATTGGTATGGATTAGAAAACGTTCAAGTTGTTTACCTATTCTTGCTTAAGGCACCAAATACATACACGTAAAGAAACAATTAAATATTTTTGTGACAGGCCTGTGTAAAATTCCAAATATCTAATATAGTACAAGATAAATCCTGTAAAAAAAGTTGAACCGACTTTAAACAATACTAACAAAGAGCACTAAAAATCTAGCAGCAATCGCGGTTATTTTGCTGTCATTTTTTGAAGAGATCAGATCTATATGAAATTTAAATGGGACTATTTAGGTTAAACAAAGTTCGAACAAAAAAAGAATTTTAAAAATCCGTCTGTATATGACGGAGTTATGCCCGAACATACATAAAAAAATAGAAACATCCGAATTGATAACCTCCTCCTTTTTGAAGTCGGTTAAAAATCAACAAGAAGTTGTATACTTATAAATATTTTATGTTTAAATTTCCCTTTGTACATTGGAGATATATATGCACTACTGCACTATGCAACCGTATTTTAGGATTTAACAACCTACCTTTATGATTGTATAACTATTTGGGAAAACATAAAAGATAAATGTGTGGAGAAATTTACATTTATTAAAGAAATCATTACACATATTTAACAACTATCTTATATTATCACACATAAATACAAAATCTTAATCTACACACTGAAAACGCTAATATCTAGGCGCGAGTTTGTTGTAAGTGGCTAGTCTTATGAACAGGATTCGTCTGCTTTTCCATCTTCTCTTGTGACTCTAATGGTTCCTGAATAGATTGCTCGAGGTGACGTTGTTCTTCTGCCAATCTGTAGGAATTTCCTGTCACTGGTGAAATGTGGCCTCGTGATTCAACAATACGTCCCGAAGATATCGATGGTGAGCAACTAAACAGTAAGGGAACGTCACATCCTCCAACGTTGGCGTTTGGGAATATACCATAAGCGGGACCAGATACTGACGTGAGCGCCGGGCCGTTTAGTGCATATCCGGAACTGACAGGTGATATAGGTGGAAGAGCTGCACCAAACCTGGCCATGGGGTTGTGATCCATCATCATAGCTTGATCGTGTTGAATTTGGTCTGTATCAGAGAATAATAACATTTCAGGCTCTGCCATTTGTTCCTCCACCGACCTGTAATGTGGGACTCCATATCCGTATTGGGATGGTTGAAACCTATTCATGTTGTAATTGTAGGGTGAGACGTAGGAAGGGCGATGAAGTGCAGCTGCTGCCGCAGCTGCCGCGGCACAAGGAGTCACATACTGCAGAGGAATTTTTGATCGTGGCTCTCTCAAATATTGATAGTCTTCGGAATACTGCTTTGCGAGTTGCGTCTCTTCTGACTCCGTGTAAGTAGGAGCGCCAGAGATAACCAGCGGATACGCAGCAAATGCACAAGCCAAAATGATAAGTTCCATTGTTGCTATGTTGTGATCTCCAAGTTCCACGCTACACTAATATTTATACACAACTTGCGTTTGGGTTTTCTACATCATATTGGTGTTCCAAAATACTTAGGTTGCAATTTATGTACGTACATACTAATACTTGACCGAGAAATAACTGCGAAGTCAGTTGTTTCTCTAAAGTGTGGAACTGGGACAGTAAGACGAATGATACTATGTACCCATTATAATTCAGTACAATTGAATGACGTAATGATTTAATCTTATACAACAGTTTTACAAGTAGTTTTAATTGTATGTAGTACTCTAGTTACTATGAAAACTCTGAAAAGTTATTCATTGGTACTGGCTTTTAGAGATAATCTATACTAATGTATTTTTCCATCAATTATTTAAACGCGAAAATCTCTGGAACCAGTAAGATTCCAATTTTTTTTTTTTGTATGGTAGAGAATAGTAAAGGAATTGCTTTATAGATATAGGTGTGTAGTATCACGCTACGACCCTTCGAAGGTATTGAAAATTGGTAGAAATTGCAGGTAACGCCTAGTACTGTTTAACTTAAGTACACGAGGCTCAAATTTTAACACGCTTTACCTCAGAACTGCGTCAGTTAGGAACCTATTTTATTTATTTGGAACGTTTGGTCCCACAGGTTATACGTTTGGTTTCACAGTTTATAGATTATGCTTTATGATGTAGGTTAGTTTTTTTTTACTTTACACATCTCACTGATTCCAAATCAGGTAGAGGAGCCTTTTTTTTGTCTGTGCGGAAATCCCTTCGGATACCACCTACTGGTGGTTATGTCGGACATGAACCGACCAAACCGCACGCGCGCCGTCTCGTGTACTGTGCTATGGTAACGACACTGCTGATAAACATACTTAAATATTTCTAAATACATACCTACATATTATAGATAAATTACACCCAGACACAGAACAAATCATCGTGCTCATCACACTATTATTTGACTAGGGTGGGAATACGACTGGATGGCGTAATGGTTTGTGTAATGGACTGCTATTCCAAAGGTCGCGGGTTCGATTCCCGCTCAAGTCAAACATTTGTGTGCATGAACAATTGATGTTTGATTTGGCCTGGGTGTTTCTATGTATAATATGTATGTTTTTACAAAAAAAAAGTATCATTTTCAAAAATCAAAAGTTTATATCAGTTGTCTAGTACCCATAGTACAAGCTCTGCTTAGTTTGGGACTAGATGGCGTTGTGTGTATGTGGGAAAAAAAAAACCCACGACCTCGGACTTAGCAGTCAGTGTCACTAACCACTACACCAACAGGCCCGTCATTGACAGGCGTTGAAGTCGGTTATCCTTTTTTAAAGTTAATTATTTAAAATCAAGTAATATATTGACTTCAAAGTTATTTTTTTACTTGATATTCTGTCAATAGAAAAGCATTGACATTAAATTTATATAACAGGTTACATTATGCGGTGAACGCAGACCGTTTCTAACTGCTCTTTTTTAAAGTGATTTCGGGATTCCTATGACCAGCAGTGAACATGCTGAACGAGCTGAAATGATACAGAGGTTGGTTGCTAGAACTTTTGGAGACTGCAGACTGACACTTCTATGTGAGATAAACTATTATCTGTTTATCTGAATGACGAAATATAAAAAAAAAGTAGTTTAAAACCAAAAAACACGCTTTTGTAACTAGCCGAACTAAAAAGAAAAAATAATTTTCTATAAGTGGATAAATAAAAATTACTATCGTAAAAATGCGTGGCGTACTAGATCTCAATTGTTGTAAAATTATTATATTGATAGAAATTTGTAAAAGTTAAGTTATAATATTATAAAATATCTTAAAAAGCACCCCACGCTGTTTTACGATAAATTAATGGGTCTTCTTAAACTTACAGAAAATTATTTTCAACGTTTTAGTTCGGCTCGTTACAAAAAATTTTTTTTTAGTAAGTCACATATGCTGCAGCACACGCCTGAGTACGTGGCAAAAGACACTACCTTTTAGAAATACAGTTTTAAGTAGGGAAAAAGACGTTAATCCTGAAAATTGTGATCAGAGCATCGGACAAATTTATCAAATGTGTGTATTGTCATAAGTAATTAATAAGAGTGCGAATTGTGAATTCAATCCGACGTTTTAAAGTGGGTTAAAATCACGTTCAAATTTACACGTTAATAGGCAATGGGACTGAGGTTGCAGTAGCTCGAAACGTCCAGGGTCTCGTACCCTTAGGATGGTAGGGACTTAGACTACGATATTGTATTACTTGTATAGAATTAAAAAAAAAGGAAAACAAGCAAATTTTAAGAGGGATGGTTATTGCCTCGAATTTATTTCTGTAGCAATCACTCCTGAATGTCATGTGTTTGTGTTAGAACATTTGACTACAAGTATGGCGTAGTGGTTTAAGCGTTCGCCACACCGCTTACTACTACGCTGAGTGTTGTGGGTTCGATCCCCACATGGAATGACCCTTTGTGTGATCCACAAGTTGCTTCTGGGCGTAAGTTTCATTGATGTTTGTAAAGGATATATTCCTAATGCAGGAGTTGTCTTTTCAAATCATTCAAATCATTTAGCATCTCTATTATAGTACATTTTAGGTGCTCTACGGCATGATGGACCGACTACTTTAGGAAAGTGACTGACAGCGGATGAACGCGGCCTGGGCAAAACCGGGATAGTTGGCACTCCTTAGGGGAGGCCTTCGTTCAGCTCTGGACGGCGATAGGCTGATGATGATATGCATATAATGTTGTATGTTTTGTTCGTACGTTCATTTGTATTGTAATACGGTTGATTAGATTTTATCCATACTTTGTGTTTCATAAATTATGTCTACAATATTGTTATTTATTGTTTTAAATTTTTAATATTATTATTATTGGAACACCATAAAACATTGGTCAGAGTTTAAGTTTGTTTAATTCCTTAAAGTATAAACTATTTAGTTTTTTACTACTAAGACACAGTTGCTACTCGTATATTATCTTCTAGTAAGTGTGTTTTAGTTGTGAAAAACTTCCTAATATTAATCATGTAGGTGTACGTTAATAATAAAAATAAATGCATTAACAAAATTTGACCGTGGGAAAGCTATGCTTCGGAATACATGGATGTGTGATAGTCTGGTGACCCGGTTGCTCGTTTTTTACTTATAACATTTACACAGCGCCATCTAGTCTCAAACTAAGCGGAGCTTGCACTATAGGTACTAGATAACTGATATACATAGATATATAATTTTTTTGTGAATATATACCATTATGCATATAAACATCCAGATCAAATTAAACATTAAAGGTTCCCGCTCCCGTCAAACCTTTGTGTGCATGAGTACACATAGGTTTGACGGGATCGGGAATCGAATCCGCTACCTTTGGCATTGCAGTCCGTTACACAAACCACTACGCTATCCGGCCGCCATACAGCCCGTTTGTCTCCTATGCCATAAAAATATTGCTAAGTGTAGATTGCTTATAACTGTGATAGAAAAACGAAGACTAAAACTATTCTTTTTTTAAAACAATGTAGTACCTATAGTATTAAATAGACGATTTTTACAAGACTATTACTACTAGAATATTTACTGACCTAATTTATATTTTATGTATGCAAAGCGGTATTTACTGATCGTGCCTATTTGTGTGTTCCGTAAATATTATAAGTCGAAAGGTGACCTTAACCTTATCAGCACGACACGGCATCGACAGTACGACCTTAGGACCAAGAGCAAAAAATCCCTTCGAGAAATAAAATATTATCATTGAAGTCTATTATTATTGAAGTTGACAATCCTAGTGTCAACGCGGCATAGTGACTTTTGGTGTATCTCGGGACTTTAGGTAATAAATATATCGTTGCTAACATCGCAAATCACTAACATATTCAACACCATAAAGTAACAAATTATATTCACCAGCAATATAAAGTATACCTATTGCAAAATAACTGCAGAATTACATTCCATAACAATCACGTATTATATTCGAAGAATCGAATTTTGTTGCATCTACAAAAACAGTTGAGAGATAGTGTGAAGCAAATAAGTTAAATTATATTTACGTAACGACCTACATATTGTACATTTGTACCGGTAGTAAAATTAAATATACTTACATTGTAGTATTTAGGTCTAGGTAAGTTCTTATTCTTACACACAACGTTATTCATATAAATTATAGCACATTTTTGTACTGATTGCTCTGAAATAGATTTAACCCTTTTTTATTTGCTTCATACATACTAGGAAGGATAAATTTTGGTCTGTATATGATTTAAGGGGCAAAACTATCTAGGCAAGTACCATATAATGGTGTTGTCGTAGGTAATGGGAGTCATCTAATGTTTGCAAATTTGAAATCACTAAATTACTTATTTACTGTTAAAAAAAAGATCGTTGATCGTTTCATGGTAAGCCATTAAAAAGAGGGCTTTTAGTAATACATTCGAATACCAATTTGGCGGTGTAATTCGCGCATTTCTAGTTGTATCATTTAATAAACATTTATATGGAGATCTCTTGATTCTACTCACTAATAAAAATACAAAAAATAAAATCCTAACCAGCTTCACCTGTATTGTGGCCTTACCTACACTTTTCCTTACCTTTTCTTTGAAAAAAGACAACTCCCGCTTTAGGAAGATGTATCCTGTGTGGGGGGGGGGGGGGACTATACAAACTCACATGAAACTGATACGAAGAACACTCAGACTCAGAACAACAATTTGTGGATCACACAAAGTGGTGTCCAATGTGGGGATCGAGCCTACAACACTCAGCAGTAGGAAGCGGCGTAGCCACCGCTTAAATTACTACGCTATCCGTGCAGTCATATGGCTAAAACTTCATTATCTACGTTATTATAACATTGTCATGGTGTGAGTGAGCAGCAATCAAGAACTAGGTCTTCACTTCTTTGATTTAAAGGTACAAATTAACGTGTTTAATCATTTTACATATTTAATTTTAATTATGAGTTGTTACTTGCTTAGTCTGTATCTTGCTTAGTAT